CCTTCCTTCCTTCCTTCCTTCCTTCCTTCCTTCCTTCCTTCCTCCCTCCCTCCCTCCCTCCCTCTCTCTTTCTCTCTCTCTCTTTCTTTCTTTCTTTCTCTCTCTCTCTTTCTTTCTTTCTTTTCTTACTTTCTTACTTTCCCCTTACCCATTCATTTCCTTGTAGAAGAAAGTTATAAAAATGACTTTTCCATATGTGTAACTAAGTAACACTTGGACTCTATGTCCCTAGGTTTGAGTTCTGGGAAGACTTTGAAGAAGACCATGGGAAAGGGAGGGAGAATGGCTACCAGAGTCTTCATAAGGTGCTAGAGCCGTTCCTTCTCCGGAGAGTCAAGAAAGATGTGGAGAAATCTCTGCCTGCCAAAGTGGAGCAGATTCTCAGAGTGGAGATGTCTGCTCTTCAGAAGCAGTATTACAAGTAAGTGACTTCATGTTGGTTGACCTTAAAGGCAGTGATCAGTGCCATAGATCCATTAGGTAGGCAAGGCACAGAAACTTGGTTCTTTGTATAGTGATATCTCAACATAAATAGAAATTTAAATTTAGTCAAACACATACAGAAACATGTGCACAAAGTTTTTTTCCCTTTGGGTAATCAAGAAGTTACACAGTGCTTTTCATTATATGAATGGACTGAAGTATATGTTAATTGTTAGTACGAATGCACCTGCCCATATTCACCCGATCACTAAGCTCCTGCCGTGTACCAGGTGGTAGGCTAAATATTGGGGATGGAAAGATGAACGGGACACCTGCCTGCTGGGGGCCTTGTGTGGCACAGGAGACAGACCAGGGCTAAGTCATTATGGTACGTTGTTGTGTGACACTGCAGGCGTGGGCAGAGCTTGTGTGGCTTCAGTGTGTCTGCTTACCTCTGTACCATTTGAAGGCGAGTACCTTGTTCCTTTTTAGTATTTCAAGTGGCATGGATAACATGTTCTGTTTAGACTACACGATATTAAAAATCCAAATATTGGTTTATAATGTACTTAGAATGATCTGTCAGATTTTAATTTTCAAAAATTACTTGACCATATCGACTTTATTTACTTACCATATGTGTGGTGCTAGAGATCAAGCCCAGTGTGTTAGGAGATCATTCCACATTGCACTTCACCTGGAGCCTCTCAAAGTTTGTTTGTTGGTTGTTGTTTTGGCAGTACTGGGGTTGCTAGGCAAGTACCCTTATCACTTGGGGTATACTTATATTCCAAGAAATACTCTTGAATTATGCAGACTTCAGCCATAATCTTTATTTTCCATTTATTCCTGCTTGTGTACACACCCTCTTAAGTTTATATATGTGTAACTGCTAATATCTAAGTATGTGTATCTCTATGTATGGAGTCACAAGTAAATATGTAAATATATGTGTTATTTATATATATCCTTCCATCCATCTGTTGAGAGTTATTTAGTATTCAGTGTTCAACATGAGTGAACTGTCCACTAGAGTCCTTAACATTTCAGTTTTTACTGAGATGTGAAGTACCACTAGTGACATGGATATAGAGAAGAGCCTCTACTTTTGTGGTGCCAGTACTGGAGCTCAGGACCTCTTGCACTTGCTTCACTTTTTTTGCTCAGGCTAGGACTCTACTATAAAGTGAGTTGCATCTTCACTACTACTACTACTATTACTTCTTTTTTCTCCTTCCCTCCCTCCCTCCCTCCCTCCCTCCCTC